GTAATGTTTTTTAAAGATCTAGAATCAGATTCAATTTATTTTTTTTAACAAAGACAATATAAAGATAAGAACTAAAAATTTCCTTATATATATTATAGCATATATACATATATATTATTAAACGAATCGAAAACTAATTTTTAAATGAAAAAAATTTATTATATAAATAACTAATTTTATGAACTCTGAAAATTTTTCAAACTCGAAGCTTTAAATTTTATTCTATATTTTTAATTCTATATTTTTAATTTTTATTCTTTATTTTTTTTACATGGAATCATTTTCTGATTGCATACATTAGTATATATATATTCTAGATAGAACATTTTTACTAAGAGCAGTATAGTTAAGTATTTGGTGACTTATGGTCGGGAATGTACGTACTTGTCATCGAAAAGAGTGCAATTCTACTTAAGCATAAAACCGGCGGGCTCGATGACGGTTTTGGTACTTGTATGGCATTCAGTTGCCCTGTCGAGAGTTTTCCTTTGCTTCGTTTCGAGCCAGCAGAGCCAAATAATTTCCGAATGGATCCATGTGTGTGAGTATACATCGAGGTTGCGAAGACGCGTGGAAGTAAATGTCGGTCCATTAAAGGGACAAATGTATATCTGCGGCTAAATAATAATAACTTGGGAACCAACCCTCCTGTTCCATTGCGTTCAGTCATCACCATCAGAAGGAGAAGAAAAAAAGGAGGAAAAAGAGAAAGCGTGGAATAAAACGAGATAAATAGAAAGAGAGAAAGTGGTAGAAATAGAAAAGATGGAAAAAAATAAAAAAACAAAAAGAGATAGAATGAAAGTGTTGAATAAGAGAAAAACAAAGGGATAAAATGAATATATCAAAATATAATTGAGATTATTAAAATATAAATGTTAGATAATATTTCTCTAATATAAAATTTTTTAATATTTAAAAGTTTTTTTTAACATTATATTATTATAGTATAATTTTATTAGTATTATTAATAACCTATTTAATTAACTATTAAGATTAACTGTTAATTTAATATCTTAGTTAATAATCGAATATATTACTCTCAACAGATGAAAGCTTTGTTAAATATTAAAATGTCGGATGTTGGATGTTTTTTAGGACTAATATTAGGTAAAAAAGGATAACAATTATCCTCGAAAAATTCTCAATAACATTATTAGTGAAAAATGATAAAAGTAATTCTCAAGAATTTTACTCTCAAATATACTTTATAACATCCATAATTATTATGTAACATCAATTTTATAATCTATTATGATAAAAAAGAATAATGTTATTTATAAAAATGCAAAAAAACCGATGCAATTTTTGCATGTAATGACATTTAGATATTCTAAATATTTTAGATAATGTACTTCTAAATAGATATTATAAAATCGATTTTATAGAGATTATGTTTTATATTAGTATTAAAGTATTAAAATGTATAATATATAAAATTCATAGGATGAAACACTTGCAAATTTCAAAAAGATGCTCGATCGATATTGTCGATATCGCTCGAAATACCGACCGATTGAAAAAAAAAAATTATATTGTTGATAATTATGAACATTATATTTGAAAGGACGTAAATTACGTAGGGAGCTGTTTTTACGCATTTACGCTTCTTTGTTTTTGCTTAATAACAATACTGTTCGTAAATGCAGCTGTGGGTTTTATTCGAAGGAAATGCATCATTTATCGGCGACAATGACTGTATCTCCTCTTATGAAGTTGAACTCCTCTTTATCCGCAAATTATTGCATCGAGATGGTAATATGTAATAGTAGGAGTAACTGGAACCTCGAGGCAATGATATGATATTTGATCCAACTATTGAACATGTCTACGATGGATAATACTTCGTTATTTATAGTTGCTATACTGAAACATGTTTCTTTTGATAATGATGCTTATAGTTCAAACTAGTAATGTTATTAGATAGAAGTTAATGTTATTAGATAGAGTTAACACATAAAGGGGAGATAAAGTAAAAAATATATATATATATATAAAAGATTTAAAACATAAATATATTACTATGAATGTAATATTAATTTAATTTAATTATATATATATATATATATTTAATTTCACTGTATATAATTAATTGATAAATTGCAAATTAAGCTTTGAATTATAATTAATTATTTATTTTATTTTATATTATATATTATATATAATAATAAATATTATAAATTATAATTAATCAATTAATATGATCAACATTATAATTTAATTAATCATTAATCATTAATTATTTAAGCAATCAGATAAGAAAATATAATGTACTGTAGATAAGAAATTTTAAAAAAAAGTTTTTGTAAAAAAGCCCAAGTTGAAATTAAATCAGATAAAATAAATTTTATCAATATTAAAACGGTTATATATATTGTTATAAATGTTAGAAAAGAAATATAAAATTAAATTGTTATAGTTTATTAGTAAAATCTATTAATAAAAATTTATAATAAATATGTAACACAAGTGATTTTAATAATTAACAACAATATCTAAATATATATGATAGAAAAGAATAAATAAAGAATATATAATTAGATATGATATAATAAATAATTTAATTATATCATATCACTCATCTTTTATATTTTTCCAATTTAACATGAATTAATATCTATTTTATTCATCGCCAAAACTTTTTAAATGAAAAATTTTTTAAAAATAGAAATCAACATTTAAAATAGTATTTTAAATAAAAAGATAAAATATCCTTTTAAAAGTTTGAAAAATATAAATAATAAATATAAATAATAAAAAATATAAATAAAAAAATAAAAACAAATATAATCGTTATTATCTTTTTATTAAAATTGAATTCTTAAAATGACATTACTTACGATCTAATATTGTTAAATCTACTTTTTTACAACTTCATTTTATAACTGTGAAAAAGTGAGATTATTATTTTTTTTTTTACCTCGTTAACAAGTTTAATAAACAACATTACTTTGTTAAAATATGTTCTAGTTCGACTAACGTTCATTATTCCAAAAGAAAAATTTATTAAAAAAGATTATTGGAGCTAACTTTCTTTATGTAATATTTCAAATTTACAATATTTACGTATTTTTGCAATTAACTGTATATAAAAACGCATGAATAAAAATAGTAAACTTTTTTCTTAATGCTTACATTGGCACAAGTAGGCCGTTGGAAACTTGGAGCAAATGGGCAAACTGCAAGTGAGGGTAGCTTTAATTAAGCTATTAGGGTGGCTGAGAGGCTGCGACCAAGCGGCTAGACATTCCAACCTCTCCTCTTTCTCTTTCTCTCTCTCTCTCTCTCTCTCTCTCTCTTTCTCTCTCTCTTTCTCTCTCTCTCTCTCTCTATCTGCCAAATTAATATTGTGCTTACATTCCATATTGCAACATGGCAAGGAAGTTTGTAGCAGTATAAACTTCCTCCCTTCTCTACATTTTCTCATATATGTGAGTATGTATTTCTGCTTATGGGAATATTACAGCGGAAATTACGAATAAGTCAGATTCCTTTACCATTAGATATCTTTCGTGTATTTCTCAATTAAAATTTTACACCACATATTTCTTATAATTTAATTATTAAATGATATGAATCATTAGTTACAATAAGATGTACTTAAAGTACTGTAAGTAATAAGAATTTGAATAGATAAGTAAAGGATTTTTATGTAATTTTTAATTATTTACTTAATTTGAGTTAAGTTTCTCTATAGTATTCAATTTTGCAAGTTTTCAATTTTATCGTTTGTATCAAATGAAAAGAAAAATTATCGTTGAATTTTTCTTAACTATTTTTTATTTTCTGTTATAATATGATTATTAATTTTATTAATAATATAATAATATTAATTTATTAATAACAATTAAATATTGATAAAATATAATTATGATATAAAATTTTTGTTTTTTTCTAATTTTCTTAATTTTTTAGAATATTTTATATTTTATAAAAATAATTTAGCAATATATATTTTAATAATACTTTATATGTACATGAAATAAAATATTGTTTCAAACATACAATAAATATTTGCAAGTCACATTTAACTTTATTTATAATTTCATTATATATTATAGGATTATAAAAAAGAGATTTTTCAAATAGATAATTATAAAGAAATATCTTCATTTCTAAAAATGTTTCTCTGATACAAGATATTGCAAAGAAATGAAAAATAATAGGAATTCGTAACATACATGTATATTTTATTAATTTGAATATTTACTATTCTAAAATGAATGTTTTATTCAAATTGTATTCAAATTGTATTCAAATGTAAGAAAATATATTTCAAATTAAAAAAATATGTTTAACTTCAACATTATTATAATGCAATATGTATTGAGGTCATATGTAGCATAATGCAAAAAAGTAATCCATGGCTGTAGAATAAAAAATAGAACGTATCTATTGCGTTTCAATTAAATGGAGATAATAATATTTTATTTACATTAAATCCAAGTGCAAGTATTAAGTAATATCTATTTGGATATAATCTTTTCGCGTTACACATTAATTGCTTTCGATAACCCAGTGCATAAACAATTTTCAATTCATATATTCAATTTTCTTTAAGATAAATGCATCATATCTTATTTACTTTCATTGAATACTTCTACAGTGTACATATTACATTTCTATTTGAAAATCACGTATATTATGCAATGATAAAATATTTGTAGAGTCTTGTATCATAACATATTGTTTTTTGATTATTTTTTCTTAAACGATAACAAAAATATATTGTATTGAGTGAAATACTATCTTCAATTTATTTTAATATTTCTATATGCATTATTCAAATATCTCTCTATATGACTCTTTGTACGTGTCCAAAAATTTACGAAATAATCAGTTTTATTCATTCCTCTATAGAAGATCTAGACCACGAATAACATATAATTATATTAACAAAACAAAAATCCACTATAATATATTTCTCACGAAATATTAAAACATATCGAAATAACAAAATAGATTCACACATTATATCGATTCATTTGACATTTACTCACCGGTTCGTCCATCGTAACCGCGATCATCGTCGTCGTCTTCGTGCTCTCCACTCTCCTCGCCGGCCGTGCCTTGAGTCTGCACAACCCTCGGTATTTCTACGAGAAGAAAGAAAATAAATGTGAAATCGTAGGACGAAGATATACGCTAAGTGCAGCTCGTATCTCTTCTAAAAAGGTACACGGTTTCCTCTTTCGTATTCGCAAATTTTGCCTAATTGGACTCGTGATCGAGCGATAACACGGACGAACACTTCGTGTGTTCCCTCCAATTGATCGATCGATCGCTTCTAAAAACAGGACGGCCACGAAAATTTTCTGCTCTTTTTTTTCTTTCTTTTCTTTTTTGTTTCTCCTGACTGCTCCTTCGCTGTTTGAACCGTTAATGAAATGTTCGAAAGAATTCTCTTCGTGTATTTAGATATCGTGTGTACGTAACAATGAAGTTTCCCAATTGGCTAGATATTACCATTTTTCACTGATGACTTTGCAATAATTGGATTTTTAAAATTCATTGGAAAACTTTCCTTTCGCGAAATTGGAAGAATATACAAAATGTTCTGCGTAAAATGTTATAAAATTATCTCTGATATTATTGAAGATATTAAATTTTTATTAATGATCTCTATAAATATATAAAATATTTGGAGAATTTTCTAGAAGGTGAAAAATGTTATATTTAATTTCTTTTTAATTATTAAAGTTGAAAGATATCAAAATAAATATTAGATATCAAAATAAATATACATATATTACATTCAAATTTATTTAATATTTATTTAAGCTAAAACATAATAACAAAAAGATAATAAGGTAGAAAAGCAACATGTTTTTATTATTTTTCTTTTTTCGTATTTTAAATCTTATAAACATTTTTTATTCTTGTTATTTTTTTCTGAAGAATCATTCTCAAAATTTTGTTCAAATCATAAATCTTTGAATCGAAATTTAAATCTAACAAGACAATATCTATATATTTATATAATTGAAAATATTTGTAATATATGAAAAGAATATTAAAATTGTATAATAATTGAAAATACTTATGATTTAAAAATGAGTTTTTTTCAAAACATTTTTGTATTATATTTTCTATGAAACATTTCCTATTTTATATTTCCTATTTTACATCCTTTTCATTTATTTTCTTTTTCTTAACGAAATTTTAAAAAGAATTTTATTTCGCATTTTTAAATAAATTATATTGCATCTCTTGCTTATATTATATTTTATTATATTTTTAATTTACGACAGATTAATTATATAAATTTTTTAAACACATAATAAAACACATTATATAATTTTTTAATTTTGTAATATTTAAATACTACATTGGAAAAATTAAGACTTAAAACGTGTATTGTTTTATTATTGATACATGAATTATATTATTAGTATCTTATAATATTATTTACATATTTTTCTTTATGGATTTTTTAAAATTTTTTTTACAGATATTTCATTGATAATACGATGATGAGTACATTCTGGTCACCCGATGTATCGATGAATATTTCAGGGATATACAAGGATCGCTATGCTCATAATAAATCAGGGTAAACTTTATATAGAATGGCGTAGTGCGATATGCTGGAAATAATTAAGTCTGCTACTCATGAAGTCAACTTATTGTTAAATCGTTAACGATGCGTTGCAAAAGTGGTTGATAATCGTTTACTTTGTGATACCTGACGTATGATCATTTAAACGTCAATTAAATTTTCGATATAACTTCAATATTTATTTATTGCATATAAAATAGTTTTCAAAAAAGAATTATAATTCTGAATAATAATTTAAGAAATGATATTAATTACAATTAATATCTTTTCAACATTATATAAATTATTATTAGTTTATTATGAATATTATGTAAAATTCAAAATAAAAGTTTTAAATATAACTTGCCGCTATTTTCTCAGATATTATAGATATTATAACTAATTATCGTGAATTTTTAGAGATCACATTTTGTTATATTAATATAATATTAAATAAATTAGGAATCATTTCATATCGAGAGACTATATTGATAAAATAACGTATTATTTTTTTCATGTGTATTGCAAACTATTACTATTGAAAAATGTATACATTCTTTTATTATGCATATAAAGAAATAAAATAGAGAGAGCTAAAAAAAGCATAGAACGTTCACGCTACTTGTGATTTTTAAAGTTCCATTGTATATTCATTTTTACGTACTATCTTTTTTTTATTAACTTTTATGGGAAACTGAAAATAGAATATTGATGAATGCATTGTAAAAATCTTCTTTCAAAAATCTTTCTGCTTTTGCGTTTTATACGTCTATTTTATTTTTATTTCTTATATTTCATTTTTCATTCTATTTCATTCTACATATGTATATTAGAATTAAGAATATGCATTTCTTGCTTAAAATCATTTCATTACAAATTTAACAAATAATGTTGAATTATTTATTTATTTAATATTTAACATATAATATATAAAATATATAATATATATATATAGTATATAATATATTTAAAATATATAAAATATTTGTAAATAACATATTTTAAAAGAAATGAAAAAATAATTTTGCAATCTTCTATAATCAACGTAATAGTATATAACAATTTTTATTTCATAATTGACTAAGGTCGTTGATGATTCTACAATAACGAATACAAAAGAAATAAAATTTTTTTATTATAAAAATTTCATTTTCGAATAATCAAATTTGAAAATTTGTCAAATACAAATATAATTAAATAATTCTCGATATAAATAAATCATTGATAAAAGATTATTTCATATATGAAAATAAGTAAAAAGTATAGAATATAAGTTTTAACGCTTAAATCCTTGAACACATGTATTTAAGAAATTTTAAATTAAATTTTTTCGAAAACTAATTTTTAAAATTAGTTTTGAAAAATTATTTGGAAATGGAAAAAATTTTTTGTTTATTTTCATACATAGAATAACTATCAATAGTTCATTACGTATTCAATCAGGAATTATCAATTTCATTTATACTTGAATGAAAGAAATTCTATTTTTTTTTTTCGACTCATTATTATATGTAGAATCACCTATTAATCAGATATTCATTCATGAAACACTTAGTATTTGTATTTTTTAAGAAACTTTTAATTCTTTAAACAATATATTTTTTTATATCATATAAAAGATAAATTCATTCAGGATTAATATAATAATCTTCAAATAATTCTTAAAAACGGAAGAATCTAAATCTTGTCCTCCAAATATTTCTTTTTTATAAATTTTAGCACCAATGTTATTTATGTTTTCTTTTTCAAAGTAAATACTTCAATTTTTCCGCATCTTTTATTTACATTTTCATATCTGCACTCTCTTCTATCAAATAACGATCTCTTCTATCAATTAACTCCAAAACTTCATTAATGATTTATAAAACAATATAATTAAATAATACTAAAAATTTTCTTGCAATACATAGGAGAAATAGAAGTAAACATATTCGAATGGCATATTTTCTTTACAATAATAAAGAAAACGCGTGAAAGGCTATAAAAACTTAACTACTACATATACTTACTGATACAAGGTGCAATATGCGATCTACTCTGTTGGTAACCTCTAGCACATCTATTACAAGTAGTACCAGTTACACCGTCTTTACACGGGCATTGGCCGGTACTTTGGTTACAAGTTTTTCCGGAAGCGCCGATCGGATGACAGTCACACGCTGTAACACGCAACATGCAAAATAAGGGATGGTTAGTTATAGTTATATTTGTATTATTAGTTTATAGTTATATTATTAGTTGTATTATGTAATTATGTGAAAAGAGCAATTGGAACTTATTATTATTTTTAAATATCATATATTAAGTAATTTAAAACAGTGAATTTTTTATCTTATAGAAAAGATATAATTTTTTTTTGTCCAAGTATAAGTAAGTTATGTATAAGTAAGTTAGAAATTGGATTCTACAGGTGCAATTCAATAGGAAATAAAAAATAATAACTTTTGTAAAAATTAATAATTTTAAAATAATGATATATGATTTTGTGAAATCTATGAATATTATAATATAAATTATTATAAAACAATTAATAATGTTCAATCATTTTGATATATATTCATTTTAAGGAGCCATTAATCAAAAACATGATTTTAAATCAGAATCACAATTATAAACAATCCTTTTAGAACTAGAGACATGTAAAATAATGTTATTTGAAATATTATTTCATAATTATTGATTAATATATGTATATTATAATAATATATGAAATATCATTTCATAATTTTTGAATTATTTAAAGAAATGTTACTTTATAAATATTCACAATTTTATAGAAAAAATCCAGAATCTGGTTTATTTACAAGTTTACTGATTTACAGGTATTTAAATGGAAAGAGTTAAATATCTCCATTATTTTTCATTTTGTAAAAAAATTTTATTAAGAAAAATTATTCAAGGAAGAGAAATAATATAACGATAATATTTTATTTAGAAGAGTTTCAAAGATTTTAAGATCATTTTTTTAAATTATATATTTTTTATACATTGATTGATTTAATTTTACATTATCTATGAAAAAATATTGTAATGAATGTCAAAAAATTATTGTTATAAATGTCGCATTAAATCAATCAATACATAAAAAAATATATAATTTTATTTAAAAAAGTGAAGATAATTTGTCAAAACTTTCTTAACTGTAGAAAAATATTATCGTCATATTACTAATAACTTTTATAAAACTAAAAATAAGAAAATATTTAGATTCCCATTTAAATATTCCTTATATATCGACATATTTTTGCTTATACAAAACAATTTCAATAATTTTTGATTGAAATTATTTTCTCAAATACAATTCAATAATTCATTATACAAAATTGTCATTGTTTTAAACAAATCTGAAACAAACTATATATACCATCTTAACTACTTTTAAAATTTGAAATGCGCAATTTTCTCGAATCCGATTTAACCGACCACCTCAATTCATCCCTTATTTCCATTTGCTATATCATTTTACTCTTCCATTCATTATATCTCTTTCAATAACTGAACGGCGAGCTGATTCACGCGAAAGTTATAATTTCCAACTTGTTAGCTCGTTTATTCATTGATCACTGTTCTCCTTCCTTTTTATCGCATTCACCGCTTCCGGGATTAAAGTAGGAAAAGAAGAGGGAAGAGGAGGGGAAGGAAGGAGGAAGGGGAAGAAAGGGGGGAGGGGGTTAAAAGCAAAATCAGGAGGGAGAGAAATGTTTGCTCGAAAAGTCAGCTTGACACGTTCCTTTTGCCCACTTATTTATGCAAGCTACAGTATTTTTCATGCGAGAGAGACACTGAAAAGCGGTTAATTACGATTGCACTTCGAGCCCGAGTGCATCCCCGCGAAAATCTATGAGGAGACCCTTGAAACATCTGCTGGTCGTTGCTCGTCTGCGTTTTCATTTTCCTTCTTCTCCTCGGCCCATTTCTTTTTTTATTCTACTTCCACTTAGCCGCGGCATTACTATTTCACGGTGAAATCGGTCATTGTAGTTTTATAGACTGCCTACAATCCACCGATTTGTTGTTCACCTGTGAATGGATAATGATTGGCTTCGTACTTTTCTCTTTTCTTTTTTTCTTTTTTTTTATTTTTAACACGTTAGACCGACACTTTTACAATTTTCTTTCACTATTCTCATCAAATATTTGTTTGACGTGTTAGTGACACTATTTCTAAACGTTTGTTTCCACATTGATTCAGAAATTATTTATATGAGTGTAGAGCTTTCTGATTATTATTATTATTATTGTTATTATTATTTTGATTATTATAGCATATTTATAATTTACAAATCATGATTTGTCAATATTATATACTGTAAAAATTCATTTAGATTAGGCTTTAAATTGAATGGAAATGGAATATAGAATCAAAGATTTAACAATTTATTATCGTTTTTAGAAAAAATATTGTTGAATATTGTTGGTGTATGTTTGTGTGGATTTATGAATATTTTTATTTCAGATATTATTCAGATAATTATTCAGATAATTTTTTTCAATTTAAACAAATATAATATATATCTTTTATCTTATAATATATGTATAATCTTTTTTTTATTCAGTAAAAATATTGAAAAAATTTTTTATATTTGTTTTTATTTTTTTATTTGTTTTTATATCTATTTAAATTATTATAAAATTCATGTATATATATAATTAATATATAATTTAATATATAATTAATGTATAATATTAATATATAATTAATAAACTATTTATGCATTTATGTATAATTTAAATATACAAAAATTTACAATATGTTTACAACATGCGAAAAAATACAAATTATTCAAAGATAGTTTATGTTATGATATTTAAAGAATAAAACAAATCTGTATTTAAGATTTCTATTTCTTTAAGATTTTTTTTTTTTTATTCATAAAAATTTTATTTTGTATACATTTCCAATTTCATAATTATATTATTATATATCTTTTAATATTAATTATTTTCAATATGTAATGTCACGAGAAAGTTTGATATTTCGATTACTTCTAAAATCATCATTTTAATCTACATTAAAAGTGAAATTTAATATTGATTATAAAAATTTTTCATTAATATTATGGCTTTGAAAACAAAAGAATTTCAACTGTATGTTTCGAAACATGATTTTGAAATTTTTATTAAATAATTAATTAAACAATTCTTTAATTGTGTTTAATATAATTTAATAAAATGAAAAATAACAAGAACATTAAACAATTTAGTTTTAAACAATTTATTGAATTTTATAATGAAAGATCTATTGTTTTCATGATTAAGTATTATTTTATGGGATTTTTTTTTTAAACATCTTATAATATCTTTATAACTAATTCATAACTCATTAAAAATATATGTTAATACATTCTTAATAATTTACGATTTTAGTGTTTTATTTTCAATATATTTTTGTTCTTTTATTACAAATATTTTAGAATATTTTGGAATTAATATTATAATTATTATATATATCTATTATTATAAATATCTAGATTAATAAATTAATAAATTTATTATATATTAGAACAAATAAGCTTACATTTTTTGAATAAATAAAATTTGATATATTTAATAATCTTTCAAAATTACGATATTTCGATAATAATTCTAATGATTAAACCAAACCTGAATAAAATTTATTTCAAATAATAATTTAAAAATAATGTTAATTATTATTTATTAAGTAATGTATCTTAATTGGCATCATATTTCTTATCTGACGATGATAATACATTCTTCTCTCACAATCTAAACTCTTGAAACTTGATTTTCCCACGCAAGTTAGCCGCAATAAACAATCTTATCATTTCCACAATATTTTCCAATCAATTTTAATTAACCGTGTAGAAAACCAATATAGAATAATTGGAAAAATAAAACTCGAAGGCGACAATGAACGACGATGGTCAATGGAGATAAGCACACAATCTCGAGAAGAGAAATACGAAGTGACCATTTGCACTTCCGCGAAACGGATTAATCTTGAAGAGACTGCCGAAGGGACGAACAACCGGTTCACGCTTCCCCAACATTCGTATCACAAGCACAGAATAGAATTTTAACCGTGACCAAATGGAAAAGCGTTCGAGAAATTACCAACGATATTCTTAATTTAATAAAAAAAAAAACTAAATAATAAGTTTTTGTTTATCTTTTTACTCTCATTTCTTAGAAAATGATCGTCATCTTATTGATGATATAGTCAAAAATATATAGAAAACTATAAAATGATAATATGAAATTTATATTTATCGATTGAAGGTAAATTAGAAACAGTCATCCATATTTCTTTTATTTTTATTTAAATTTATATTTGTAGAATAATTGGCATGGCGTAATAGCTTTAAATAATCATGTTTATCATTTTTTAATACACAAATCGATATAGATGATAATTTATTTATAAATAATTACTAGTATAATAAATTTTACAAAATTACTAAACTAATAAATTTATTAGAAAATAAAAGATTCGGAAACTCATCAAGTATTAAATTTTATTTAAAAATAAACTTATATAATTCAAAAAACTTTTTATTATTAAAATTTCCAATTGATAAATCATTACTAATATAAATTCAATTGTAACTTAATAAATAAGTCTTAATTAATACATTTGTATCAATTTTTATATTATCTAAAAATAACCTTCAAAGATATTCCATGAATATATAAATATACTATACATGCATATATAATGTATTCATATTAATATATAATGTATTCTAAAAATTAAAATAAGAAAAAAATACAAATCATCGAAAACTAGTTAATATCTTATTATTTATAAAGTATAATTAGATTAGCATTTATATATAATAATCGTCAGAAGATACAATATTTTTAAGTTTTAATTGCAATAACTCTATTTCAAAATATCCATTCTTATTTGCTGATATAAAACAAAATGAAAATGAATTTCAATTTTCTATACTGCTGTAAATTTGAAATGTTGAAATTTTTCGAACAATAACGTATATTATTTATCTCTCATTTCATATTTCGTTTTTGTTATAATTCTTTAACAATGGTTCCAATGGCATATATGACATTTTTTCTTCTCCTCTCTATTTTGATTTAGAATTGAAACCCATACTATACGATAAAATAATCTATTGTTAAAATATGGAACAAATTGAGACACCCTATATATGACCATCTGTAAAAAAAAAGCATGAAA